CCTGATATGATGGTAGCAGGAGTAGGTGGGTAAGAGTAACAAGATTGTTTTAATAAGTAATGAGTTATTTTTGTTCGAAGGAATGATTGTTATACTTGCTTGCTACTGACCGAAAGTTGATGACAAAGTGGAAACTGAATAACCACTAATTTAGTTTTGAATTTCCTATCTCAGCATACCATTGGTTTAAGTAAAGCTTAGTAACCAAGAAAATTTGGGCAAATCTGTCATTTTCCAAGCTCATGTACATTTTTCAAAAACAAGTTCACTAAAGCAGCATAAGTATTTATTCTTTTTAAAATATAAAAATTCACGATGCAATTAATGTTTTTTGAATTCCAGATTGAGGCAAAAAATAATTCAGTCTGGATAGTTCTAGTTCTACAAGTACATAATTAAGTCTCTCAGTGTTGTTAGACATTACAAACATAAAATAAAAAAGTTATTTTTTGGATAGAGGAAAAGGAAACAAAAGGTAAAACAGCCCTATTGTCACATCAATTCAATTTGCAGCAAAGGTACATGTTGAGTCTCTCTTTATTACCTGCTCTTCTCCTTGGATCTTTTCTACTGGGTAGTTATAATTTAGAAAGCCCCTGCAGGGCTCTTGTGCTTCTGAAAAGGATATGCAATAGAGTATATCACCCAAAATAATTATCTGCAACTACCATCTTACCTTAGGCTACATGTCAATATGCACTCACTTGGTACTCAGAGACTGCATCTAATTTAGACCTGAAGGCAGACACACGTGAATAATACTTACAGCAACAAAACAGGATTGAAGCTACAGTGGAACTAATTTATTAGTTAAAAAGGGCATCAACTGAAGAATTACAGTATCTTTCATAATCTTGGTACTGTAATCTTTTTCATTTTCCTCAAGATCCAAGAATGAAATTCTGTGGTGTCTTAAAAAAGTAACAGAAGAGAACAAAAGTACAAGCCTTGCACCATTTAACTTGCTTTCTTAAGGTACATGTGAGGTGGTCTGGGTCTTAGGCACAAATCAAAAGACTTCTGAAGCTAAAGGAATTATGATAGTAGAAAAATGTATATGAAAGAGGACAAAAATTAGATCAAATAATTATAAAATATGACAAATAATTAAAAAATAAAACCCCTGGATAATAAGTTTGACTGCACCCTCAGCAAGTTTGCAGACAACACCAAGCTGAGTGGCAGTGTTGATCTACTTGAGGGCAGGTAGGTTCTACAGAGGGATCTGGACAAGCTAGCTTTATGGGCTGAGGCCAATTGTATGAGGTTCAACAAGGCCAAGTGCAGGTCCTGCCCTTGGGTCACATCAAATCCCATGAAGTGCCACAGGCTGGGGGCAGAGTGGCTGGAACTGTGCACAACAGAAAAGGACCTGGGGGTGCTGGTCAACAGCTGACTAAACATGAGCCAGCAGTGTGCCCAGGTGGCCAAGAAGGCCGATGGCATCCTGACCTGAATCACAAATAGCATGGCCAGCAGGACTGGGCCTGTTCCCCTTGGAAGTGATGAGGCTATACCTTAAATCCTGTGTTTAGTCTTGGGCCCCTTACTACAAGAAAGACATTGAGGTGCTGGAGCATGTCCAGAGGAGGGCAATGAAGCTGGTGGAGGGGTTGGAGCACATGTCCTATGAGGAGTGGCTGAGGGAGTTGGATATGTTTAGCCTGGAGAGAAGGAGGTTCAGGGGACATCTTATCTCTCTCTATTGCTACCTGAAAGGAGTTTGTAGCCAGATGGGGACTAGTCTCTTTTTCCAGGTGACAGGACAAGAGGAAACAGCTTCAAGTTGCACCAGGAGAGATTTAGATTGTATATTAGAAAAAAAAAAAAATTACTGAATGGATAGTCAGGCATTGGAACAAGCTATCTAGGGAAGTGGTGGAATACTCATCCCTGAAAGTGTTCAAAAGGCATGCGGATGTGGCACTTGAGGACACTGTTAAGTGGTAAATATGGCAATGCTGAGTTAACAATTGGACTTAATGATCTTTGAGGTTTCTTCCAACCTTAATGATTGTATGATTCTGTAATTCTATATATTTGACAAATGCATAAAGTAAACACACATATAACACAAAGTTGCAGAACACTAAATGCATTTTATGTGATATTTGACTCCACAAAATTCATGTGTGCTGGAATGGATAAAAAAATTAAATAGCTTTGCTGTGACCCTTGTGAGAAACAGCAGAAGACACCAGGTGAAGAACTGAATTCTCCATCATGTACCCAAAAGTTTCATTCTTGCTGCACTGTGCTCCTCAGCCCACAGCTGCAATGAGGGACTTGCACCATTTGCTTTGGAGCAAGCAGGTGTTTAATCCTCCTCTCACCAGAGAAAGGTGAAATTATCCTTGGTAAAGTTCATGGACAGACCCAGTATTTTCTATTAATAATTCCTATTCACCCCATTTATTTGTCTCGTGTGTGATGGAGGTGAATATTTGTAAATATTCTGTAACTCATAGGTGTGTTTAAATGGATGAAAATCTTTTGAGGAGAGTTGATTATGTGAGTTCCCACAACAAGAACACAGCTTGCAGTTTTATCTTAGACCAGCTTCAACATTTTCTTGGCTCCAACCTGAAGCCATTCACAAAATTATCATTGTGAAGCAGACTCCTGCGTACAATACTGACCTGTTTCTGCCCTGCCAGCAGGAAAACACACTATTCCCACGAAGACATAATATCACTTGAAGAAACTACACTGAACTTCACAATAATACCAATAAATTTCTTAAGCATATTTTTTGTGTTCCTTTATGATCTCTACCCCACAGCTTTTTAGAGTGTGTTGCACTTCATGGAACAGAAAGCTTGGAAATAATCACACAGCTCATGAAATCCACTTCCGTGAAGCTGCAGTATCCACAGCACAGCCATTACATATCACTGACCACCAAACACATCAGTAGGAGTTTTAGAGTTGATGGAGGAGACCAACAGACAAATTATAATGACCCACAGGATGCTGGCAAGACTGATGAAAACAGCAATGCTTTAAATTTGTACTTCTGAAGAAATCGTTGAACAAAATGCTTTGTTATATACCTATGGAGCTCAATACTAATTCCATTTGAAAGAATATTCAGCTATGTTAGGTTTATTAGTACATCTATAACAGGCTTTTTTGTCCCTTTTCCATAACTTCATTGTTGATAAAAATTCATTAGTTCTGTTTATTTCAAAATGTAATGCTCTCAGGACAGAGAAAAAAGTAAATTTTCATCCAGAAGTTTCACAATAATGCACAATTTTCACATAAGTTATTCTTCTGGGTCACAATCCCAAATAAATTTTCTCAGTCAACTCATTAAAGTGAAGTGACTGTCAATGTTTACTGCCAATCAAAAGAACTCACTGAAACAGTTTGTCTAATGAGAAGTATCATTTTTACAAATTAACTCTTTTTTATCAAACAATACCAATGAAAACTGTATTTTGCATATAGAAAGCAATTAGATTTGGAATAGGTAAAAGAAAATGTCACTTTGCTTAATATTTATATGCCTAGATACATTAGGAACTTGTGAGTGAAATATGCCATCAAAAAACTTTTCAGAAAAATCAAAGTATTTTAAGATTATACAGTTGAAACTTAGTGCTGAGCAAAATTTCTGTTATTATTCAAAGATTCAAACAATTCAAGTAGTTGTTGGTCACCTAATTTCCTTTTCATCAACTTCACTTGCCTGTTACAGAAAGCACAAAACTACACTGTATAGTGCAAGAACATCTCCTTGTACAAGACACTTGGCATATTATAGGTGCCACAAGAAATGCTAAAAGAGCCTAGCAACAGTAATCATAGCAATAACAGATCTGTTGCCTTAGGAAAACACAGTTTAAAAAATCTGGTCAGACTAGTGTGCAAGAAGCTGTAAATAATGCACTGATGGCATTACATGGCCTATTGCTTGGAGAGCACCGCTCCAGGAAATGTTTTCTAATAATGTCATCCCACAGACTGACTCTGTTGCCTTGGTTTTATCACTTGAGTTTTTTTACTTCACTCATCTATATGACTTTTACTAAAGCTGTAATCTCCCTTCAATATAATTGAAATGATTTAATCTGATTTTCTTTTGAACCTAAAAGATAGAAGTTATAAAACTTAAAATTACTGTTGAACAACTATGACAAAAGAAAAACCCATCTAGCACAAATGTTCCAATTTCTACAAACAATCAGAAAAATAGACTTCCACAGCCTGCAACATTGAAAATGAATATGCCAGATCTCTGGTTCCTACAAAACATCTTGTTGTACTGTCCATTACTACTATAAATATGACAGATGGGGTCAGTACTGTACTCAAGATTTTATTATTGACAGCCTCCATATAGAATTGCAAACAGCTTTCAGAGGAAAGAGTTGCAAAAATAAACAACCAGATCTTACTTAAGCAACAAAAACCAAAAATATGACCCCTTTTTTTTTTTGAAGTTCAGATAAACAGTGTCCACAATATTACGTGAAAACAGCAGCGACCTAGGTTATTAATAATAGACTTCTCTAAATGAATAACAGTATTACAGTTTGATTTGGTACAATTTCAAGGACAACCAAAACCTACTCTTTTTCATCTGTATAAAATTTGACACATAACTGTGCTGGATATTAGTTTAGATCCATTACAAGAAAGATAACCACATCTATTAGATGAGCCTTGGTATATTACATTAAGTTTACTAACTACAGTCTAAGTAAAAATTGTAATGTTTTCCTAACATGAGTAATCATGTTCACTACACAGGAATTACAAAGAGAAGTATAAAGATGTTAGAAGTGATGAATCAGCAGTTTATAGTTTATAAACATTTTGTAATATCTAGGGAACATCCCATACATTAAAAATTCTGTCAGATCCAACATCTCGGATCTTAGATAGAACAACAGCAAAACAAACTTACTAGTCCCGAAGACACCAGAAGCAGATGATATTTCAAAGAGAAAGGAAAGAAAAAACAGAATTTTATGACATTAGCAAGTCCTTACCTAGTGGCTGCCCTGCGATGATCCTGGCATTCTCTCCTGCCACTGCAGCCCTCGCGTGCCTCTCACTCATGTACTGTACAAACGCATAACCTTTGTGCACTGAGCAGCCCACTATTTTCCCATACTTTGCAAAGATTGCTTCGATGTCACCTTTTTTGACAATGGCTGTGTTCAGATTGCCGATGAAGACTCTGGAGTTGATAGACTTTGGGTCATTCTTATTGGTGACGTTGCTGGTCTGTGTTTTGCCGGTCATGGTTAGGTCTCTTCGCTTTAAACCTTAAATAAATAACAAAGAAAATTATGTTTCAAAGCATGAAGCATCTGACTTTAGATGACTTTTCCAGCAATAATTCAATTTTATTTTTTGCTTTGAGTGAATCTGGACTAAAAAGAGTCAAACTTTGTAAAGCATTATCATTAAAACCAAGATAGCACATTTTAAAATACTGCTCATAAGTCAAATTAAAATTTCTTATTTTTGTGGATATGAAATAGACCAATACATCTTTTAATACAATGCTGTGATAGCAGAGCTTTACTGTAATCTTATGTGGATTTCTGCTAAGAAATTCAATATTGACTTTTTAAGTACCTAGCCATCTGGAAACTGCAAAGCAAGAGAATGAATCATTATCTTCCATCAAAGAAATGAACATTCAAGGCCATGGAGAGAGCAAACTCTTACAATGAAAGACAACACTACTTTTGTTTGGTGTCAGTTAGAGCAGTTTCTCACCAGTTAAATATCTCAGTGCAGGTAACATACAGTTCTTTACTGCAATCAATATATTTCTATCAGAACAGTTTTCCCTATAAATTCAGTACAAAAAAAAAAAAAAAAAAAAAAAAAAAAAAAAAAAAAAAAAAAAAAAAAAAGAAAAGAAAAAAAAGAGAGAAAAGACAGTGGATTGTGTTCTGAAAATTAAAAAGTATGAAAACAAACCACTTTAACTGCAGGAACATAGATTTGCTTGCTGCTTCGCTCTTTGTATTTGTCGCTCTGATGTCACAAGTCTAAATGCATCCTGACATCTTGGATGGAAATAACCACATTATTTTTGTGAAAGATTTGGTAAAACAAAACAAAAAAAACCCATACAATTTTGGTGTTCATCCAGCCTCACACCTCTGAAGAACATGTGATTTTCTTAATATTCCACTTGCCAGCTGGTCCCTCCATTTGCATAAATTTACTTAGATGGAAATAAAATAAAAGAAATGCCTGCACTGGGTTTTCTTCACCTTTAGTAGACAACAGGAATTTCAAAAAGACACATAGCTTTAAATATAGAAAATTTATTTTGTAAGAAGGAGGTCATTTATGCAGCAGTCAAATATAGGCCATGTCTTACAGGCAAGAGATATGTTACTATTTTTTAACCTGTTCATACTTTTGATCATCACAGTAACAGCTTGGGCAAGAACATCCAGTTAAATACTTCCTCCAGTTAAAGTTCAGTTCATTCCTCAGGATGAAAAGCTATAATGACTTGTATTCTGGACACCTAAAGCTTGATTCTAAGTAACAGAAATTTCATATTTTAAATCAGCAGCTACCGTATATGAAGCTAGAAAAAGAAACCATTGTTACAGAACTCTGCACAATTCCTGGTGAACAAAATGGCCACAGCCACAGCCATCAGCACTTTGACTGCCTCTACCCCAGAGGATCCAAATCCCACCTTCCAGGTAAGAACACACAAATCAGATCTGTGGGCAGTCCTCCTGAGTCCCAGAAAACAGTCAGCTATATTAAACAAATATGTGCTATCAGTCAAATAGCTTTCACTTGCCTAACAACTTAGTATGACAACTAACTTTATATTGCAACACTTAGAAAAAACATTGAAGAAAATAAGAAAAAAATGTTTCCTTGTAAGTTTGTTGATTTTTAAATACATTCTGGAAACACAAGATACTGTATACATGCACAAATTTCATAATGGAAACCCAGGAAAACTGTCTTGACCATAAGCCTTTGAGCTTTATCATAAGACAGATTCAACTCCGTATATTTCTAGATTGCTGTGCAGAATGTGCATATTTGAAGTCATGTCTAGATGTAGTTAGCCTGAATATTGTGAACATTACCAGCAGAATATTTGGTACTGTAATAATTTAAAGACAAAACATTTGAAAAACGTAAATATAATTCACATTAAGCTCCATATTGGCATAAAGTGAACTGCTGATTTTTAATAAGACCCAAAAAGTTTAAACCCATCTTAGATATGCCTGTATTTACACAGGAGTCAAAGTGACAATAACACAGCCATGTTATCTTAAAGAGCCCTATTTACATAAACTGAAGAGGTAACATGGCAGAGTATTTAGGCTTAAAAATAAAAGTTAATGCATTCAGGTTGCTGGTAAACAAGGAACCACTGGTATCCCCTGTGGTGATGAGTTTGGTGTGCAAGTACCACTCTATTGGGAAAACCTAACATGGGCAGTATTGTGTTCATTTTTGTCATGGTCTAGAAAAACACCCAAACTGTATTTGTCTTTATATAATTCTTAGCTTCTTGATAGCATCATCTGTGAACATTTTTTGACTGTGTATCTGAACTCATTTTACTAAACACACAGAGGTAGTTTATCACAAGTGAGATCACTGGTCTAGAAAGTAATGACCTTGACTGGTAGACCTGTCGCGTCCACTAACCTGCTCTATGACTCTAAGTAAGATTTTTTCAGTGCTTCCCTTCCCACTTTTTAATCTTCAGACGTGCTTTTTTTTTTTTGGCTAAGGGCTGTCTCTCCATGTATTTATATAGAGCTTCTAACATGATGATGTGACCTCAGCTGGAACATTTGCGCACAGCTGATAGACTAATAATAAAAATGGCACGGAGGAAAAAATCTACAGAAAATCTTCTGTCAGAAGTCAGGATTTGCATGAAAATTATACACAACAAAACTCCTTATTTATTACGTCACAATTGTGTTCTAAACACCAGAGTACCACACTCTGTTTTTCCTGTATTGTTTAGCCATTTAACATGGGATTTAGTAAACTATTTCTTTTTTATTTCATAAAAATCCTCATTTTATTTTTGCCCAGTTTTTGTCTGCGCTAATTTAAATAGACATTGAATATTTCTCTCTTGTAGTTCTTCTTTGCAATGCAAATTTACAATATTTTTATAACACAAAGAAAAGCAGTTGTCTGGTGGGTTCTCTCATATTCAAATGAGCAGTCAGGAAAATGTGCTGCGGAAATTCAAAGGGTAAGAATAATGGTAACACGAATGATTGAGATTTGATTGCCTTGGTGGTCAATGTACAATACTATTGTGAATATTTCATAAAAATCAAAGATCCATGGGAACTTCATCACAATGTAAAAGAACATGGTTTTACACCTCACTTACAATATGCATCTGTGAATACTGAATTATATCTATCTTCTCTGAGCTATCAGTAAAGTCACAAACATTGTAAATCATACAACTTCAGAAATAAATGAAACAGTGAGAAAAACATATCTGAAATAATCTCATTCAAGATTCTGAAATCTTCTCATTTCTTTAAGAAATGCTTTACAAATAACAGCTAGCTATCATTGCATTTAATCATAGTTATTTATTCAATACACTTTTTTATATACTGTAATTATAATACAACACATGTTATATATTATATAGTATATACTATATACCATATATTATATTTTATATATTGTATATGATATATTACATATTATATATTAGCTTATATATACTGCATTGTTTTATACAGTAGCTATTTCAATTATTCTATCAAGAAGTAAATAGTTTAAGTCTTGGTATAATTAAAATACAAGTTATAAATTGGATCATTTCTATTACTATATAGATCTCTGCTTTGAAGAGTAAAGTTTGCAAATCTTATTGGGGCATTTAAATTTCTAACAAGTTAAATAGGAATGAAAAAGCAAATTACTAAAATGAGATTCCTATTGTTTAGGACATAAGCGAGAAGTTTAAACCAGTCAATTTAAAGTGCTGAAGAGAGGGTAGAATTTAATCCTTGGCTTCCTTCACTTTTCCAGCATTTCTTGGCAACGTTTGGCTAAGTACCATCATGACCAAGCGTTGCTTTGTGGCTGTGAAATTCAACTTCTTTTTGTAAGGTGTATATATGAACCCACATCTCCCATTGCATAGATGTTCCTCCTCGGGCACTACCCTCAGAAGAGTGAAGATGACAATTCCTTCTACACATGTGCCTTGCCCCTGTGCAGGGACAGCACTGGGATTCAATTGTTGCTTTATTGGTTGAGCTTTTCTGTGACATATTGTCTTCAAGATGTAAGAATCAATGATTATCAAAATATTTATGGAGAAAAAGAAGAATAAGGCTGTAATATATTTCTCTCCTTTTGAGTTACCTTCTAGCAACAGTGACAACATTAAGCTTTTGAAGTGTTGTAGACGAATTCAAGGTGTTTAAACATTGGAAGTGTCCTTCTGAGAATGAAATGTCCTACAACATAGAGTTATCTTGCATTGGTACTAATATTTTATGGGGAAAATTCAATATTCATGTTAATTCCTTTAATAGGCAGTCATTAAAAAGTATTTTATCTCAGTTAAATCAGTACTTGACAAAACCCCTACAAAATTTTATATATATGTTTTGGAAGTATGACTACTGGATATTTCACAGTAGTAGGAAGGAATGGAGGGAGGGAAAAGAGAGAATGGAAAGCTGTCAGACAAAATATATTTTGTCTTGGAAAAATCCTTTTTTCTTTATGTTTTAGGCTAATTTTTAATGAATTATTATATCTAGGTCACATAAACAAAGAAAAAAGTTATTCATAAGATAGTTAGTTAAATCCACATCAAAATATTCTGTGTCTTTCCAGTCCTCATTAAAGTCAAAAAATATGCTGCTTTTTTTTTTTTTTTTTTTTTTTTTTTTTTTTTTTTTTTTTTTTTTTTTTTTTTTTTTTTTTTTAATGGTTTAGTTTTTAGCTTCCTTTCAATTACTTTTAAGAAGGGGTTGAACATAATGTTTATAACATGGACAATTCTCCCTTCAATCTGGCATTTCTGGAGTCACATAAATGACAATATACATCAATACATGCTATGCCATATCTTGTAGAAAACTGAAAGATAAGGACTGAAAGATAAAATGATGTAGCAAATCTCACTTCATGTTCTGTTGTCACTCATCTCAAAGAAACAAATACTGTTTCTTTGTGGAGGGTGAATAAAATGTATCTACTCGTTAAAGAGAAATAAAATAATTGGAGATTAATGATAACATGCAGGAAAAAATAATAA